AAGGAAACCTATGTCTAACCCCGCACAGAAGGAATCGATGTGTAACCACCCAGAACTATGGAATTCCACCAGGCCTCCTTTGCGCCTGCAGCCCGAAAGCACACGGAAGGAACACCGCACACAAGACGACGCAACATCCTTACGGGAAACCTTGAAAACGGAGGGCCCCGTTAGTGTCCCGAACCCCCCAGGAGGACCCTGATAGCGGCCGCACGAGGGAAACAAAACAAGCAAGCGTCATGTATTCGTATTCGGAGGTTTTCCACGTTTGCCCCACGACGGGCTCAGAACGGCCCCACACGGCTGCAGATCTTCCAAGATCGCACCAAGATGACCCAAGAAGCCCTCACGAGTCCACTAAGACGGCCAACGAGGGCCCCGAGACGGCCCAGAACAGGCCCCAGAGAGCCCAACAGAGCTTAAAGTGGCACCCCAAGACACCCGAGGAGCGGCCCAGGGCGGCAGACTCCCAGATGGCCCCAGACCTCCACCACGGCCCGACGATGGCCCAAGAGGCCCCCGGGACGGCCAGGGCCCACGAGGACTCCGAAGCCAGACCCACGAGACCAGAAATCAAGCAACAACCTAATGTTTGTAATGCTTCCCACGCTCTCGACAGCTCCAGGCGTTTTCACGACCGCCCCGCGATGCCCAAGTAGCCCCAACGAGCCTAATGGATTTCCAGGTGGCCTCCCGAGAGGGCCCGCACTGGGGTTCCACGCGGCCCCAGACCCCCACCCTAGCCCCAAGATTATCCAAGAGGCTCCCGGGACGGCCCCAGGGGGCCCCGCGAGGACCCCGATGACGGTCCCACGAGGCCACAAATCAGGCAAAGACCTTGTTTAGAATGTTTCTGCACAATCTCCCAGTGCCAGGCCCAGAACGGCCCCACGCGGCTTCAAGCACCTCTGCGATCGCCCTGAGCTGGCCCCTGGGGCCCCGACGGGCGCACCAAGACGGCCCAAGACGGCCCCACGCCCTCCCAAGGCTGCACACAGCTTCATCGTGCCTCAGGTGGCCCCCCGAGACGCCCCCGGAGCTGCCCAGGAGGGCCCCACCCGAGCTCCAGCACGGCCCCAGACCTGCACCAGGCCCCCACGACGGCCGCGGAGGCCCCCAGGACGGCCGGAGATGGCCCCACTGTGGCCCAAGGTGGCCGCACGATGGCCCAAGAGGGCTCAGCGAGCTGTCAGAGACAAGGGATGGCCTTCACTCCCCCCATCTGCAGTAACGCTCTCCTCCGCCTCCTCCTGCAAGAGGCTGCAGCGAGACTGGTCTGCAGGAAGCACGCGATGCCGCAAGAACCCTCCAGGGGCCACTCCGAGATAGACCAGACCCTCCCAAGACACTCGAAGACAGCCTCCAGCCCAGATCCCAGAGCCTGCAGCAAACCCTGGAGCAAACCCGCAGGCGTCGGTAACACGTCTGCGTTCGGGACCAACACCGTGACCTGACAGCCGTGGATCTTCCACGGGTTCACACTAATCAGCTACAACGCTGGCATCAGCGCGTGCGAGAAGGGCTGTCAGTGGCAACATGCTCTGTCGCTGCTCCGAGGGATGCGGGATGCGAAATTGGAACCCAACGTCATCAGCTACAGCGCTGGGATCAGCGCTTGCGAGAAAGGTGAGCAGTGGCAGCAGGCTCTGTCGCTGCTTGGCGAGATGTGGGAGGTAACGCTGAAACCCACCATAATCAGCTACAACGCCCTGATCAGCGCCTGCGAGAAAGGTGAGCAGTGGCAGCAGGCGCTGTCGCTGCTCAGCGAGATGTGGGAGGCGAAGGTGAAGCCAGATGTCATCAGTACCACAATCTGGGCGTTGCGCGTGCGAAAAGGGTAAACAGTGAAACAGCTGCTCCCGAGCGCCCGGAGCTACTTGGAGCGCGCCTTCATCAGGGCCACTGGGCCCTCCCCAAGAAGGCCCCGTGAGCTGCGCAAGAGGGCCTACACTTGGCTCCCAGACGGCTCCAGCCCCCCACCCTGGCCCTAAGATGGCCCGAACGGCTGCTGGGACGGCCCAAGAGGGCCCAGGAGGACCCTGATAGCGGCCGCACGAGGCGAACAAAACAAACAAAGCTTGTTTTCTCCAAGGTTTTCCCGTGTGCCCCATGACGGGCTCAGAACGGCCCTACACGGCTGCATGTTCTTCCAAGATCGCACCACGATGACCCAAGAGGCCCTCACGAGTCCGCTAAGACGACGGCCAACGAGGGCCCCAAGACGGTCCAGAGCAGGCCCCGGAGAGCCTAACAGAGCTTCAAGTGGCTCCCCAAGATGCCCCAGGAGCTGCCCAGGACGGCCCAGACAAGACTCCCAGACGGCCTCAGACCTCCGCCATGGCCCGAAGATGGCCCAAGAGGCCCCCAGGACGGGCCAAGAGGGCCCACGAGGACTCCGAAGAGGGACCCACGAGACCAGAAATCAAGCAATGACCTAATGACAGGCCCCGAACGGCCTCTCGCGGCTTCGGGCACATTTGCGATGGCCCCGAAATGGCCCGTGAGGCCCCGACGGGCGCACCAAGACGGCCCAAGAGGGCCCCGACGGGCGCACCAAGAGGACCCCGACGGGCGCACCAAGACCGGCCCCAGACAGCTTCCTCGAGCTCCATGTGGCCCCCCGAGAAGCCCCTGGACGGCCCGAGAAGGCCTCCAACACGGCCCCAGACCTGCACCAGGCCCCCACGACGGCCGTGGAGGCCCCCAGGACGGCCAGAGAGGGCCCCACTGTGGCCCGAGGTGGCAGCACGATGGCCCGAGAGGGTCTCGAGCCCCCTCCCGCCGATGCGGGGTGACAAGGGGGACCTTCTCCTATCTTCTCTGCCGCCGCTTCCTCCTCTGGGAGCCTTCACTCCCTCCATCTCCAGTAACGCTCTCCTCCTCCGCGTCCTCCTGCAAGAGGCTGCAGCAAACCCTGGAGCGAACCCGCAGGCGTCGGCGACACATCTGCGTTCGGGACCGACACCTTGGTCTGCCAGCCGTGGATTTTCCACGGGTTCAAACTAGTCAGCTACAATGCTGGGGTCAGCGCGTGCGGAAAAGGAAGGCAGTGGCAGCAGGCTCTGTCGCTGCTCCGCGAGACGTGGAATGCGAAATTGGAACCCAACGTCATCAGCTACAGCGCTGGGATCAGCGCTTGCGAGAAAGGTGAGCAGTGGCAGCAGGCTCTGTCGCTGCTCAGCGAAGTGCAGGAGGTGAAATTGAAACCAGGCGTCACCAGCTACAATGCTGGGATCCGCGCCTGCGGGAAGACCGAGCAGTGGCAGCAGGCGCTGTCGCTGCTCAGCGCAATGCTCGAGGCGAACTTGGAGCCCAGCGGAATCAGCTACTGCGCTGGGATCAGTGCGTGCGATAAGGGCGAGCAGTGGGAGCAGGCCCTGTGGCTGCTCAGCGAGATGAGGGGGGCGAAGCTGGATCCCGATGTCGTCAGCTACAGCGCTGGGATCAGCGCGTGCAAGACGGACGGCCGGTGGCAGCGGGCTCTGTGGCTGCTCAGCGAGATGCGGGATGCGAAGATGAAGCCCGACGTCACCTATCCTACAGTACACCTTAGGCGATGCTTAAGAAAACCCAAGTTTTCGGCCAGAGTCTCGATTATTCTTAACGTTTCAACGTAAATCCTAAGATTTTAATGGAAATGTTGGGTTTTTATGCAAGTTCTGAGACTATGAATTTCTTAACCCATGATTTCTGAAGCATTTCGCAGGGTGTACCCTACAGCACAGGGGCAGCGCGTGGTGCGCTGCTTCGGGGGCAGCGTCCGGGGACGGGGGGCCTGCGGGGGAAGGGCTCGCCGCGAGGGCCCGCGCCTCCCAGACGGCGCCAATAGCGAGTCCACGAGGCCTCCGAGCTTGCCGAAGGAAGCTCGCTGACGCGGCCGAGGACGGCCTCGAGATTCACCACCCACCAAACCACCCCAACCCAACCCGAAGGCTCAGATTTACCCTCCATTTCCAGTGGGGGGGGGGTCGGGAAACATCGAAAAAACACATGTGGAACCCTTACCCCCCCCAACCCGAAATTCGGGTCTTCGGGTTGGGTTGGGGTGGTCTGGTAGGTAGTCGAAGATGGTCCGAGACGGCGTCCAGATGGCCTCGGGGGGCCCGAGGCAGCCCAAGACGGGCCTCCAGACGGCCGCAGTACCCCCCGAAAGGGCTCCCGGAGCGCTCCAAGAGTGCGCCCAGCATGGCCTTCAGGTCCAAACAGATGGTGTGTTCTGCAGGGTCTTCTAGCAGTAAGTCGGGCATGTCCCTCTACAGGAGGAATGTTCAAAAATAGTCAAAAATAGCCAGGGGACGATGTTTCGTCGATTTTTTGACCATTTTTGAGCATTTGATGAATATTTTTTCCATCCAAAATCCGCCTGCAGGGGGACATGCCCGACCTAATTCTAACATTTCGAGCATACTCGACTTTTGGGTCCTTGCAGCGTCCATGACGGCCCAACAGCTCCCAAAATCGCACCAGGATGGGCGAAGGGGCCTTCGAAGAGGATCCCGGCGCGGCTCCAAAGAGCCTCAGAGAGCCTCTAGACGGCCCAAGAAGGCCCCAGAGAGCTCCAAGACGGCCTAGGAGGCGCTCAAGCCCACCAAAGCCCACTAGAGCCCCAGGTGTATCCCAAGACGGCCCCAAGAGCGCTCCCAGAGAGCCCGAAGAGGCCCCCCAACAGAAGCTACAACGCACCCCTCTGTTGTAGCATTCGTCGGGTGTTTTCTGAGAGTCCTCTTGGGGCCGTCTTCGGGCCCCCTGGAGCCCCTCTTGGGGCAATGTGCAATGTTCGAGGTCCTCCAAGTGTTATCCGAACCTCCTGCAAAGCTGCAAGACAGCTCAGGGAAAGCCCCAAGACGGCCCAAGAGGCACTCAAAACGACCCAAGATGGCCCAGAGATGGCCCCGCCGCGCTGCCCTGCCAGGGCACCTGCGGATGTGCTCCACGGGTGCATACCAGTCAGCTACAGTGCTGGGATTGGCGCATGCAGAACGGACGGCCAGTGGCAGCAGGCCCTGCGTCTGCTCAGCGAGATGTGGGAGGCGAAGTTGGAGCCCAACGTCATCAGCTACAACGCTGGGGTCGCGGCGTGCAGGAAGGATGGTCAGTGGCAACGGGCGCTGGCGCTGCTCAGCGAGGCGCGGGAGGCGAAATTGGAGTTAGACGACACGAGCTACAGCGCTGCAATCATCGCGTGCAAGAACGGCGGACAGTGGCAGCGGGGTATGCTGATTTTCAGCGAGTTGCGGGAGGTGAAGCTAGAGCAAACCGTCACCAGCTACAACGCTGGAATGAGCGCTTGCGAGGCAGGCGGGCAGTGGCATCATGCTCTGTGGCTGCTTAGCGAGATTTGTGAGGCGAAGCTGGAGCCCGACGTCAACAGCTACAATAATGTGATCGTCGCGTGCGGGGAAGTTCTCCAGTGGCAGCAGGCTCTGTCGCTGCTGAGCGAGATGCTGGTGGTGAAGCTGGAGCCAAACTCCGTAACTTACGTCGCTGCCATCTTCGCGTGCAAGAAGGGCGGGCAGTGGCAGCATGGTCTTTCGGTGTTCAGCAACATGCGAGAGGCGACGCTGGACCAGACTGTCGTCACCTACAGCGTTGGGATCGGCGCGTGCGCAAACGGTGCGCAGTGGCGTCGGGCCCTGTGGCTGCTCGGCGAGATGCAGGAGGTGACGCTGGAGCCAAACGTCGCTTGCTACAGCGCTGGGATCAGCGCGTGCGACAAGGGCGGGCAGCGGCGGGCCCTTCCCTCGATCCTCGGCGGCTCAACGATGGGGCCCCGGGGGACGGGGCCCCGGGGACGGGTGGCCTCAGACAGTGAGGGTCCAGCTCGAGATCGCTTTCGTTGTCCTTGGGGCCCCATCCTCCCCCTCCCCCTCCCCCCCCTCCCCCTCCCCCTCCCCCTCCCCCTCCCCCTCCCCTCAGGGATCCCTCCCCTCTGTCAGGGATCCCTCAGGGTTCCCTCAGGGCCCTGGCCCCGCCCCTGTGGGCCCCATCCCCTGAGGGAGCCCAGACATGCCCGCGTCGTGACAGAGTCACGACGGGAAGTTTTCGGCCGCGTTCGGGGCAGCGGGGCCATCAAAAAAGCGCCTCGCGACGAAAGGGTGGCCCCGGGGATAGGGTCGGGACTTCGGGGACCCCGCACTCAAAAAATCAAGACACCCCGCTGCCCCGAACGCGGCCGAAAACTTCCCGTCGTGACTTCGTCACGACGCGGGCATGTCTGGGCTCCCTCAGGGGATGGGGCCCTCAGGGTCGGGGCCCAGGGCCCTGAGGGAACCCTGAGGGATCCCTGAGGGGTGGGGCCCTGAGGGGAGGGGGAGGGGGACTGGGAGGGGGAGGGGGACAAGCTAGCTGCGCTCGCGTCATATCTGACATCCTACCCCTCCCTCCCATCCCTTACCATGGCGTAGATCCCCTCTCTACTCGCACAGTCGGATGTCGAGCAGGGCAATGATCCCGAAAGGGTACGCGATGCATTGTAGAGCACGGCATGGCATGGCGTAGAAGTGCACCGCAAAGCGTAGTATCAACCTAGCATTGCATTGCATGCCGTAGCATGGCACGGGAAATGACGCCAGCGCTGCAGCGGGAGCACGAGTCGGAACGAGCGGAAGCGCGGAAATGAGGCCAGCGCTGCAGCGGGAGCACGATTCGGAACGAGCGGAAGCACAGAAATGAGGCCAGCGCTGCAGCGGGAGCACGATTCGGAACGAGCGGGGCCCGAAAATGAGGCCGGCGCCTCAGCGAGAGCAGCATTTTGGAAAACATGCAGGGGAAAACCCAACTCTGGGGAATCCTGTGCGTAAAAAGCAGTGCGCGATTTTCAAGACGTCATCAGGGGAAGAGGGAGAGCAGCTTTCATGTCGAGTCATTGTGGATGGGGCCCCGAGGACCATGAAAGCGATCCCGCGCTGGGACCCTCACTGTCTGAGGCCACCCGGCCTCGGGGCCCCGTCCCCGTCGGGGCCCCGCCCCCGTCGGGGCCCCGTCCTTGGGCCGCCGAGCGATGCTCGGCGACCTGTGCGGGGCCACGCGCTGCTGCGGCCCGGGGGGCCCGGCGCGCGAGGGCGCGCCCGGCGGCGGGCCGGCGACGGGCCCGCGAAAAGCGAGCGGGGGGCGGCCGCCGGAGCGCACCTCTCGCGCGGGGCGTGCCCGCCGACGGCAGGAGCGCGCTTTTCGGGGCTGGACCTCGTCGCTGCTCTGCTGGACTGCGGCCGCGTCTTGCTGGTCGTTCCGGGGGAGGGAGGTGCAGGAGAGCAGGTCGAGCAGGGCGAAGAGCAGAACGGAGGCAAAACGGAAAGCAACGTTTAGGTCCAGCCCTGTTTTTTTCATTCCCGGGCGATCACGGGCATTACCCTGGGGGGCGGGGGAAGGGGAGGGGAGGGCCAGGAGCCGCCCAGTCCACCAGCGGCGGTCTGGCAGCCGTTCTGCCTGGGGCTTCCTCACCGAAGCGGTTTAGGAACCGTGCTTCCGCCTCAATGCTCGGAGGAGGAAAAGGTACCCCTACCTAAGTATTCACCAATCCCCATCCCCATCCCCATCCCCCTCGAGACCCACCAAATTACCCCCCCAGTTGGGGATGCACCCCTCGAAACACGAGGGGAGCGGCCTACATCCCCATCTAGGGGGGTACATCGGCCAGTGGGGCACAGGCCTCGCCGCTGGGGATGGGGATCGGTTCAACGATACTCAGAGAAGGTACTCCAAATATCATAATAATGGGGGGGGGGTCAAAAAAGTGTTTGACGGCCAGTCTGGGACCCCCCCCCAAGACAGGCAACAAAAGGTCCAAAATCGAGACCCCCCCACAAATGTGTTTGACGAAGTCCGTGAGACCCCCCCCAGAAGCAGACCCGCCCCCATTGTTATGAGATCCGGAGTACCCATGTCTCTACCCCCTCGCCCGTCTTCCCTTTCTGGGCCTCCTGGGAGGCCCTCGCCTCCACCGCTGGATTCGCCTCGGCGTCCTGGTCAGAACGCGCCCGGGGAGAGAGGTCCAGGGAGTCGCGGGTATTGGTACCTCTCGGTTTCCCCCAGATGCCGGCTACACTTCTGGTCTGGACGACCAGGATCTTTCCTAAACACACTACTCAGGAGGGAAAACACACACACACACACAGACACAAGGAATCGTCGATTCCCAGGAAAATATGGGAAACTATGGGAAGTGGGGGGGGAAGACAAAACCCCAGAAAATATGGAAAAGTATGGGGGATCCTGTGATTTGTGTTTACTTATTCGTGTGTCCCTGGGCCCCTTCAACTTCGGTGCACAGGGCCGTGCCCTCACCCCTGTCCCGGCTGAACCTTAGGCTTGGAATCCCTCGGAATACCTGGGAGTGTATGCTCTCGCTAGCCGACCTGCTCCTCGACCCGCCTCTTCGCCTTTGCTGCCATTGGGGTGCTTTGCCAGGATAGTTCCTCGAGTTCGGCCTCCAGGGGTGATCGTCTGGCCCCGGGCCTGCAAAAACGGATCCGGTGCGAAGAACTCAGGCCGGGGGAGGGGTCGGGATTTTCCAGGGTCCAGCATTAAGAACATCATGTCATCAGATGCCTGGGGTAGGACACCCCCGCTGGTGTTCTCTCGGCTGCAGGGATCCTTCAAACAGCCGGTTTTTCAGAAATCTTACCCGCAGGGGTAGGGTTCACACGTGGCCGCCTAGACAAGGAGAAGACGTTTGCATCGACGCTTGTGTGCGTGCGTCGGCACCTCGATGATTGGTCTGGTTCATTCATTTTGGCTCAGGCGGGTGGTACCTCGTTGGATGCCAAGCATCTCGCGGGAATCTCGTCCAGATGTCTCCTCCACCTCCTCTTCCTCTTTGCGTCCTTTCGAGGCGGCCGTCAAGGATTGCGGGAGGACACAGCGATGGATCGCAGCGCTGCAACTCTTCTGCGAAACATCCCGGACATGCGTGGAGGTCAGCGCAGGTCACTACATCGCGATTGTTGGTGCATGCGGAAGAGCCAGACAGTGGGAATGGGCGCTGTCGTTCCTCAGTGAGATGGTCGAGAAAAGAGTTGAGGCCAATGCGATCAGCTACAGCGCTGGGATCAGCGCGTGCGAGAAAGGCAGGCAGTGGCAGCGCGCTCTATGGTTGCTCAGCGAGATGCGAGAGACGAAGCTGCAGCCAACTGTAATTAGCTACAGCGCTGGGATCAGCGCGTGCGATGAGGGAGGCCAGTGGCAGCTGTCTTTGTTGCTGCTCAGCGAGATGCGGGAGGCAAAAGTGAAGCCCGACGTCATCATCTACAGCGCCAGGATCAGCTCATACGAGAAAAGTGGGCAGTGGCAGCAGGCCTTGTATTTGTTCAGCGAGATGCGGGAAGCGACTGTGGAGCCTGACGTTATCGTCTACAGCGCATGCATAAGCGCGTGTGGGAAAGGTACGCAGTGGCAACACGCGCTATCGCTGCTCAGCGACTGTTGTGATGCCAGGTTGCAGCCGAACGTCGTGAGTTACAATGCTGGCATCAGTGCGTGTGGAAACGGTGAGCAATGGCAGCAAGCTCTGTCGCTGTTCAGCAAGATGCGGGAGGCGACGTTGGAACCTAATGTCATCAGTTGTAGCGCTGGGATCAGCGCATGTGGAGCATGCGAGCAGTGGCAGCAGGCTCTAGTTTTGCTCAGCGAGATGTGGGAGGAGAAGTTGGAGCCCAACGACATCTCTATGCTACAGTGCTCGGGCCTGGCGCGTGCGAGGTTGCGCTGCCGCAGCTCGGCCCAGGGCGGCTCCTGGCGCTCCTGGAGCGCTCCTGGACGGCCGCCAGAAAGCTCCGAGAGGTCCAGCGACGGCTCAGAGACGCTCTTCGGCTCAGAGCGCTGGTAGGTAGGCAGCCCTGGAGAGCGCCTGGAAGGCACCTGGGACTCCGGAGCGAGCCTCCGCATGGCCCAAGACGTTCCCAAGGCACGCCGGGAGGCCTCCCACGACGGCCCAGGAGGACCTCCGAGGCTGGCCCCACGAAGCCGAGATCGCACGCTCTCCCCCAGGTTCTCAGGCTGCTCTCAAGTGCTTCCACGTCCTCCTCACAAGCGGCGGCTCCCGACGGCCCCCCAGCGCCCCACACACGGCGCCAGCACGGCCCGCGCGGCTCCCAGAAGCGGCCTTCGATGGCCCGAGAGGCCCCCCCCAGATGGCCTCCGAGCGCCCGAAGGCGGCCCCAACCCCTGAAAGAGGCTCTGGGGGACTTCCCGGTGACGGCCCCAGGAGTCGCCCTGAGCTCGGGAGCGGCAAAGAGGGGGGTAATTCATGGCTTAGGAAGGGGGGGGGACCTCATGGCCTGGGCCGTGATGTTTCGACTTCATGGCGCCTCCTCTTGCTGCAAGACGTCCCTGGCCCCCCCCCATGGGGCGCGCACACGCCGCCGGCCATGATTTGCGCCCCCCCCCCCCCCCTCTTGGACGCCCCCCTCTTGGCCGCTCCCGATGAGCGCCGCAGGAGGCCCCCAAGACGCCCCCGGCAGTCTCGCAGGAGGACCCGCTGTGCCCCCCGACGGGGGCACGGGTACACCAGAGCCGTTCCACTTCGACGAGCTGTGCACCCTCGGTATGCGGGTCCCGGTCGGCGGCGAGCGAGGGGGGGGGGGAAGTGAGAAGGGTCGGGGGTGGACAGACCTCCTACCCTGACACGTCGATTGAGGAATTGGCCGTTTTCGCTTCGCGAGAGGGCATCGTGGCCGTCATTTTTGCGGGTCCAGGTCCGTCGGTTTCCTTCCCAGGCCGTTTTCATTAAGGGGAGGTTTACTAAAGGGAGGTTTGTCCACCGCCGAAAGTGGCGGGCCTTCTCAGAAGGCTCGGAAGTCCCCCAGCCTTCTGAGAAGCTCCTCAAGCCTTCCCCGAAGGCAGAGGAAACTTGTCAGAAGGCGCGATTGCTTCTGAGAGATCCCGTCGCCTTCTGAGAAGGTTTTCTCCCTCTCACTTCCCCCCCGCGCTCGCCGCCGACCCAGGTTCAGCATACCGTGGATTTAATCCACGGATTCACCCCTGTCAGCTACAACGCTGGCATCAGCGCGTGCGAGAAGGGCTGCCAGTGGCAGCAGGCTCTGTCGCTGCTCCGAGAGATGTTGGAGGCGAAGTTGAAGCCAGACGTCATCAGCTACAGCGCTGGGATCAGTGCGTGCGAGAAGGGTGACAAGTGGCAGCAGGCTCTATCGCTGCTTGTCGAGATGCGGGAGGTGACGCTGGAGCCAAACATAATCAGCTACAACGCTTTGATCAGCGCCTGCGAAAAAGGTGAGCAGTGGCAGCAGGCGCTGTCGCTGCTCAGCGAGATGTGGGAGGCGAAATTGAAGCCGGACGTCATCAGCCACAATGCTGGGGTCAGCGCGTGCGGAAAAGGAAAGCAGTGGCAGCGGGCTCTGTCGCTGCTCCGCGAGATGTGGCAGGTGAAGCTGGAGCCCAGCATCATGTGGATTCGAGTGTCGCCGAGCGCGTCCCACCACTCGCAGAGTGCCCACTCGCAAACGTCCGAAAAAACCATGCGTCTGCCTGTGCATAATACATCGTAAGCCCCCTGCGACGGACCCAGGCCATTTGCGAGCAGATACCCTGCGAGTCGTCGAGCGCGCTTCTCTAAAGCGCCGACCCCCAGAAGAGGGGCGCGCCGTCCACGGACAAGGCCCGTCGGGGCCTCTCTTGAGGATCCCCTTGGGGGCCTCTTGGGGGCCTCTTGGGGGCCCCTTGGGAGTCCCTTGGGCGCCTGCTGGCGGTCTCGGGGGCCCTCGTGGGGCGGAGGGCTCGGAGTGCCAGTTCAAGAGCTGCCTCTGTTGGGCTCCTCGTGGGGCCCCGTCAGGGCTCTCTTCGGCCCGCCTGGGCCTTCTTGGGCCGGCTCGAGGCCCCTTTTTCGGCCGTCTCGGGGCCCTCTTGTGGGCTTCTCGGGCCCTCTTGGAGCGAGCCTGGGGGCCTCTTGAGCCGTCTTGGGCGCTGCTGGGCCCAGAGATGCGAGTATGTTCAAGCTGTGCGCTCTCCCCCAAAATGCTTTTGGTGCAGTCTTGAGCCATCTTGGTCGTCGTCGAGGACTCCTGTGCGTGTTGGAAACCTGCTTGAGCAAGCGTGGATCGAGTCGTAGGCATCTTGGAGGCCACAGAGTGTAGAAATGGAGGCTCCCGAGGCCCCGGGGCAGCGTTGATGAGCTCCGAGACCCCCCCCGGGCTTCCCCCCGGGCCCCCCCCTCACCGGGACCCCCCCCCGCGGACCCCCCCCCAGCCTCTCTAATGGGATTTCAGGTCCCAGGAGAAGGGGCAAGGGGGAGGGGCCTAGCCAGTCATCGCACACGCCTTTGCGACCCTGGCAAGCGGGGCTGGTAGATACTGCAATGCTCGGGTCCGTGCGTGCGAGGTTGCGCTGCGGTGGCAGCTCGGCCCAGGGCGGCTCCCAGAGTTCCCGGGGCGCCCCGGCGCTCCCGAGGCGGTCCTGGACTGCCTTGGACGGTCGCTGGAAGGCTCCAAGACGTCCAACGACGGCTCAGAAACGCTCAAGAGAGCGCCCGGATGGTCCTCGAGAACGAGCTTCAGAATGGCCTAAGGCGACCCCAAGACAAGCCAGAAGGCCTCCCAAGACGGCCCAGCAGGACTCCGATGACGGCCCCACGAGACCAAACAAAGTAGATTTTCATTAGCTTTGAAGGACTTTCAGGTTCCCTCCATTTCGCCCAAAGCACGGCTCCAGACGGCTCCCATCATCTCCTAGATCGGCCCGTCACTGCCCATCAGGCTCCCACGAGAGGCCCTAGACGGCCCCAAAGAGCCCCAAGATGGCCCAAGAGCGCCCGAAGACATCGGTTTATGTTCTAAGAGCGTCATTTTTTGTTATTCGATCATTTTTGGGTTCTAAGACCATGTCGTGGTAGGCCTGCAGGCAATGCCGGGACGGTCGGTCCCTGCTCAAGCAGGGTTCTTGGCCCTCGTCACCGAGCAGCGGGGAGGGGTGCGCAGATCCGCGCCGCGTCGACGCGGCGGCGACCTGAGCGCGCCAGCATCAGGGGCCGAACGCCGACGAAGCTGCCGATCGTGCTGGGTTGAGCGTTCCACGACAGGAGCAGGAGGAGGAGGAGGAGGAAGAGGAGGAGGAGGAAGAGGAGGAGGAGGAGGAGGAGGAGGAGGAGGAGGAGGCGGAGGAGGAGGAGGAGGAGGAGGAGGAGGAGGAGGAGGAGGACGACAGGAACTCACCGTATTCCCTCCTTCACTCAGTCGCTGCCGCGGCAAGCTCGGGCCCTGCGAGGTCCTCCGTGGGCTCTCCCGTCGACTCCAGGAGCTCCACGAGCTGCTCGGCTTCGACTCACTGTTCTGTGGATTGAGCCCATGGTTTGCGAGTCCTGGGTTTGGCAAGCCGTGGATTACATCCACGGGTTCACACCATTGTAGTCAGCTACTGCGCTGGGATCAGCGCTTGCGAGAAAGGTGAGCAGTGGCAGCAGGCTCTGTCGCTGCTCAGCGAAGTGCAGGAGGTGAGGTTGAAGCCAGACGTCACCAGCTACAATGCTGGGATCAGCGCCTGCGGGAAGACCGAGCAGTGGCAGCGGGCCTTGTCGCTGCTCAGCGCAATGCGCGAGGCGAACTTGGAGCCCAGCGGAATCAGCTACTGCTCTGGGATCAGTGCGTGCGATAAAGGCGAGCAGTGGCAGAAGGCCCTGTGGTTGCTGAGCGAGATGCGGGGGGCGAAGCTGGAGCAGACCGTCATCAGCTACAGCGCTGGGATCAGCGCGTGCAAGACGGACGGCCAGTGGCAGCAGGCTCTGTGTCTGCTCAACGCGATGTGGGAGGCGAATGTTGAGCCTGACGTCACCAGCTACAGCGCTGGGATCAGCGCGTGCAAGACGGACGGCCAGTGGCAGCAGGCTCTGTTGCTGCTCAGCGCGATGTGGGAGGCGAATATTGAGCCTGACGTCATCAGCTACAGCGCTGCGATCAGTGCGTGCGGGAAAGGTGACAAGTGGCAGCAGGCTCTATCGCTGCTTGTCGAGATGCGGGAGGTGACGCTGGAGCCAAACACAATCAGCTACAACGCTGGTATAGTCGCGTGCGGGAAAGAAGGTCAGTGGCAACGGGCGCTGTCGCTGCTCAGCGAGACGCGGGAGGCGAAATTGGAGTTAGACGACATGAGCTACAGCGCTGCAATCATCGCGTGCAGGAGCGGCGGGCAGTGGCAGCGGGGTATGCTGATTTTCAGCGAATTTCGGGAGGCGAAGCTAGAGCAAACCGTCACCAGCTACAACGCTGGAATGAGCGCTTGCGAGACCAGCGGTCAGTGGCATCAGGCTCTGTGGCTGCTTAGCGAGATGTGCGAGGCAAAGTTGGAGCCCGACGTCAACAGCTACAATAATGTGATCGGCGCGTGCGAGGAAGTTCTCCAGTGGCAGCAGGCTCTGTCGCTGCTGAGCGAGATGCGGGTGGTGAAGGTGGAGCCAAACGAAGTAAGCCACGTCACTGCCATCGGCGCGTGCAAGAAGGGCGGGCAGTGGCAGCATGGTCTGTCATTGTTCGGCGAGATGCGGGAGGTGAAGTTGGACCAGACCGTCATCACCTACAGCGCCGGGATCAGCGTGTGCGCAAACGGCATGCAATGGCATCGGGCTCTGTGGCTTCTCAGCGAGATGCAGGAGGTGAAACTGGAGCCAAATGCCTTCTGCTACAACGCTGGGATCAGCGCGTGCGACAAAGGCGGGCAGTGGCAGCACGCGTTGTCTTCTGTCAGAGACTTGCGGCGGGCAAGGTTGGAGCCCGACGTCTTCAGCTACGGCGCTGGGATCAGCGCCTGCGCGAAAGGTGGGCAGTGGCAGCGGGCCTTGTCACTGCTCGGCGAGGTGCGGGCGGCGAAGCTGGAGTGCCAAGTCCTCAGCTACTGTGCAGCCATCACCGCGGTCGGGCGGGCCGAGCGGTGGCGGGACACCCTCGCGCTGCTCGGCGACATGCGGGAGCGCGTGCTGGAGCCCGACGCCGTCTGCTACAGCGCTGGGGTCGGCGCGTGCGAGAAGGGCTGGCAGCGGCAGGCCCTTCCCGCGATCTTCGGCGGCTCAAAGATATTGGGCCCTTGGGGCTGGGGCCCCGAGGACGGGTGGCCTCAAACAGTGAGGGTCCAGCTCGGGATCGCTTTCGTTTCCCTCCGGGCTCCAGCCCTCGGGGCCCCACCCATCAGGGATCCCTCAGGGATCCCCTCAGGGCCCCGCCCCTCGAGGCGCCATCCCTTGTGGCCCGACCCCTCGGGGATCCCTCGGGGCCCCTCTCGTTCTCTGACATGCGATGTCTTGATTTTTCAAATGCGGGGTCCCCGAAGTCCCGACCCTCTCCCCAGGGCCAAGTTTTCATCGCGAGTCGTTTCTTGACGGTCCTGCTGCCCCGAAACAGATGCGGGCATTTCTGGGTTCCCTCTGGACCCCGTGCCTCGCGGCCCCATCCTTGAACCGCCGATCGATCCTCGGCGACATGGGCGGGGCCACGCGCTACTGCAGCCGGGGCCGGCGCGCGTTGCGGGGCGAGGCGAGTGCGACAGCCGTCGGCGGCCGGCCTGTGAAAAGAGCGGGGGCCGGCCGCTGGAGCGCACCTCTCACACGGGGCGTGCTGCTGGCAGGAGTGTTTTTCCCAACCATCCTGTGGTGTTGGGTCCTCGTTTTGAAGAGACGGTGCCCCGCGTTCCTCTCCTTCCTCCTCCCCCTCCTCCCTCCTCCCCCTCCTTGCCTCTGCTCTCGGCACACCTCTCACGCGTTTCGTAGCCCCATATGGAGCTCCACCGAAGGCCCCAGTGGGGGTGTCCACATGCGGTTCCCCCACCCAGGGCAGCGTTTCGTGGCCCCATAGGGAGCTCCACCGAAGGCCCCAGTGGGGGTGTCCACATGCGGTTCCCCCACCCAGGGCAGCGTTTCGTGGCCCCATAGGGAGCTCCACCGAAGGCCCCAGTGGGGGTGTCCACATGCGGTTCCCCCACCCAGGGCAGCGTTTCGTAGCCCCATAGGGAGCTCCACCGAAGGCCCCAGTGGGGGTGTCCACATGCAGTTCCCCCACCCAGGGCAGCGTTTCGTAGCCCCATAGGGAGCTCCACCGAAGGCCCCAGTGGGGGTGTCCACATGCGGTTCCCCACCCAGGGCAGCGTTTCGTAGCCCCATAGGGAGCTCCACCGAAGGCCCCAGTGGGGGTGTCCACATGCGGTTCCCCCACCCAGGGCAGCGTTTCGTAGCCCCAGAGGGAGCTCCACCGAAGGCCCCAGTGGGGGTGTCCGCATGCGGTTCCCCCACCCAGGGCAGCGTTTCGTAGCCCCAGAGGGAGCTCCACCGAAGGCCCCAGAGGGGGTGTCCACATGCGGTTCCCCCACCCAGGGCAGCGTTTCGTGGCCCCATAGGGAGCTCCACCGAAGGCCCCAGTGGGGGTGTCCACATGCGGTTCCCCCACCCAGGGCAGCGTTTCGTGGCCCCATAGGGAGCTCCACCGAAGGCCCCAGTGGGGGTGTTCGCATGCGGTTCCCCCCACCCAGGGCAGCGTTTCGTGGCCCCATAGGGAGCTCCACCGAAGGCCCCAGTGGGGGTGTTCGCATGCGGTTCCCCCACCCAGGGCAGCGTTTCGTAGCCCCATAGGGAGCTCCACCGAAGGCCCCAGTGGGGGTGTCCGCATGCGGTTCCCCCACCCAGGGCAGCGTTTCGTAGCCCCAGAGGGAGCTCCACCGTAGGCCCCAGTGGGGGTGCCCGCATGCGGTTCCCCCACCCAGGGCAGCGTTTCCTGGCTTCACAGGGAGCTCCACCGAAGGCCCCAGTGGGGCTGCCTGCATGCGGTTCCCCCACCCAGGGCAGCGTTTCGTAGCCCCATAGGGAGCTCCACCGAAGGTCCCAGTGGGGGTGTTCGCATGCGTCTCCACTGCCCAGAGGCAGCGCCGCCGAAAACGATATTCACACTTGCGGTATTCACAGTTGCATATGGTTGGGTCCTTCGCCAGGCTAATTTTTCCTTGGCGATCACGGGCGTTACCCGGGGGGCGGGGGAAGGGGATGAAAAGGTGGTAACGTCACGTTTCGCGCTGGCGCCGTTGAGGATGTTTAGGAATGAGCAATGACAATTCGGAGGTCAGTACGAATCGTGACGTTACTGGGGGGGTACGGCCGGGGCTGGTAACGTCTGCTACCGCGAAAAATAACTTGTTCCGACGGTCGGACCCCACAAGAGAATGTGTTAAGCTTGCTCTTAGCCCTTTCCTCCTCCCCCTGTCGGACACCCTCCTGTCGCGCTCTGCTCTGCCCTCTGTTCTCTTCCTCCTTCTATTTATCCTCCTCCTCCTCCTTCTCCTGCCCCTCCTTCTCCACATCACCCTCCCCCTTATAGTAGTAGTAGTAGTAGTAGTAGTAGTAGTAGTAGTAGTAGTAGGAATAGTAGTAGTAGTAGTAGTAGTAGTAGTAGTAGTAGTCGTAGTAGTCGTAGTAGCAGCAGTAGTAGTAGTAGTAGTCGTAGTAGTAGTAGTCTCCGTCGTCGTAATAGTAGTAGTAGTAATAGTAGTAGTAGTAGTAGTAGTAGTAGTAGTAGTAGTAGTAGTAGTAGTAGTAATAGTAGTAGTCGTAGTAGTAGTAGTAGTAGTAGTAG